GGGGAGGGGAGGGGAGGGGAAAGGGGGGGGGGGGAGGGGAAGGGGGGGGGGGGGGGGGAAAGGGGGGAGGGGAGGGGAAGGGGAGGAGGGGAGGGGAAGGGGAGGAGTGGAGGGGAGGGGATCTGCATCCCCAAGAGAATGTGATCTAATTGGAGACTGAGGATATTGTTTATAAAAAGGTAAGTAAAGGTATGATGTGGGACCATGATCACGGCCAGTTTGGAATGATACAAAGTAGGATTCAGAGAGGAATTCCCAAGAGGAAAAGAGAACTGTGGTTTGGTGGTCAATAAGGAAGCCTTCAGACATAGAATCAAATTTCACTGGAGATTAAAGGGGCCTCAAGGGCTTTTCATGTGATTTCATTTATTTTGCAGTTAAGGAAATGAAGGTCTTGGGATTAGTGCTAAAGACTACTGCTGTTGCCTTAAGATTTTTTAAAATACTGTTGATATTATAATTTAATGTATAAGATCTTGGGCTAGAAATTAGGAAACATACACTCTATTTCTAATATTACTTCCTAATAAGATTATTTAAATTTTCTATGCCTTGGTTTCCTTTTACTTTTAATAAAAACATATTTGGGTTTTCAATTCTTCAAAAGGACATTTTAATTCTAGACAATTATTTAAATTATAAAAAACATTTGTACCCTGATCATGTTTTCCCTTTGGTTTATACTTTCTAATGCTGAAGTTATAATAGGAAAATGAAAAGACAAAAGTGCAATACAAATTTTTTAAAATGCTATTTTTCCCCTGAATTATTTTATAATACATTCCACAGTGAAAAATCCAAAATCAGTACGTATCAATAAATGTGCTGTAATCAAAAGACTCTGAAAAATAAAATGTTTCATTATCATTTTTAACCACCTCCACAACAAAACAGTAATAGCGGCAATAATTTACTGAACAACTACCATGTTGTAGGCAGTTATGCTCAGTGCTTTATATAAATTAATGCATTTAATCCTTATAATACCTTTTATGGCAGGCATATTATTTCCAGATGAGAGAAGTAAGGCTCACAGAATTTACTAGATTGCCCATGGTCACACAGCTAGTAGGTGGTGAAGTGGAGGTTTCCGGCCAAGTATCAGTGACTTCAAAGCCCGTGTATGTTCCCTCTGTTAGCTACTGTGCTTTGCTTAGCTACCATCTATTAAGACTTTATCACATTTGTTGTATTCATTTTGTAACTTTTCAATTGATTTAAAAATTTGCAAAATAAAAAATCACAGGGCCAAAAAAGACCATTCTTACACAGGTATCTTTGTTGTATTATGAGCCAAGTTTTTCTAGTGTATATATCTAGGAGCAGAATTGCTGAGTCATATGTATGTGTATGTATCTTCAACCGCAGTACTTCAGAGTGGTGAACTATTCCTAACTATGCAACATTATACACTTTCTACCAAGTTCCTATGGTTTCGTATCCTCATCAACGCTTGGTATTGGCAGTCTTTTTATTTTTGCCTAATCTAACGGAAATGAGGTAGAATCTCATTATGGTTTAATTCTCTTTGATTATTAAAGAAGTTGAGAACTCTTTTTATGACTATTGGCTATTTTTTACCTCCTCTTCTATGAAGAACCCACTTAAATTATTATGCCTATTTTTCTCAGATTGGATTGTCTTTTATAGATTTAAGAATGTATATATTCTAGATGCTAATATTCTATTAATTACATGTAGAGTGAATATTGTCTTACTGTGTGGCTGCCTTCTCTTTATGTTATCTTTTGACAAAGACAAGTACTTAATTTTACAAATCAAATATATAACTTCTGATAACAGACTGTTGTATCATAGAATAAATCTCTCAATGCCCCGCAGTTATGAAGGTACATGTGTGTGCGTGCATATATGGATATATACATATAGCTGTACACACAAACATACACACATATAAAATGTGTGTGCGTGTGCATGTGTGTGCAGGCTTTAAAGTTTTATCTTGACTCTTCACATTTAGGTGTGTATCTATCTGGAGTTCTTTGCATATGGTGTCAGATAAGCATCTAATTTCTTCTTTTATTCCCTATATGAATATCTGATTATTCTAGCACGATTTATTGAAAAGACTGTCTCTTCCCACTGCTTTGAAATGCTATCTCCATCAAAAATCAAGGCTCCCTGTATGAAGAATCTGGTAAGGGTCTGGTCTTTCAATTCTGACTCATTAGTCTATCTGTAACTGTGTCAGTATCACATTGCTTTTAAAAAATACATCTTGGGACCTAGTAAAGTGAGGCTTTCCACCTTCTTTTTCTTCAAGAGCACTTAACCCATCCTTGGCCCTTTATACATATCAATATATTTTAGAATCATCTTGTCAAGTCTCAAGAGGAAAAAAAAAATGTGTTCATTTTTCCTCCTTCTTTTTAGATCAGATTAGAAGTTGCAGTTGTTGGCTGGGTTGCTGTCTGGGATCACATTGCAGCTATAGATTGTTTCAAGGAGAACTGACATCTTTATAATGTTGAGTCCTCCAATCCAGGAAGCCACAAAGCATGTTAGGTCTTTTTTATACCTAATGCTAGCTCCTGAGAGCTAATCTACTTTTGATATGTGAATGCCAAGGCCACTTAAATTTGGTATTTCCAAGCCCTACAAAGTATAGTCTATTTTCCTCTCAACTCGTAAGATGGCAATCATAAAATAGAATGTGACATCATAGTTCCATTGTCCAGAACTGTGCTTGATCCAAGAACTGAGGAGGAGATGCAAATGATTTGTGGCTTCGAGGATATGAAAAATATCCTTCAGGTAATTGAGAACAAACATAATCTTACATTCAAAATCACAAACATGCACATAAAAGGTTTTCAAGTGGTGAAATCCCCAAATCATAATTTAGAAACAATATTTTAAAAATAATTCCTACTTGAGAATTGAGACAGAGAGAGAAGTTAGCATAGAATGAGTACCTATTAGTAAGGCTTCCTCCAGGACCTAGGGACCTTAACCAGTTCTGGATTCCTGATATGGGAATAAGCAAAGGAATTTTCAGTGCAGCAAGAAATGATTAATGGGCTTTAGGGACTGATTGATGAAGAGAAAAAGTGAAGCAGAAAAACAAACTCTGAAGTTAATAAATGGAAAGGAAAAAAATACCATCCTGAAATACTTGACCTAGGAAGATAAGGGACTGTTTATGGTAATGTAAAGGGTTACAAAGACTAGGAATTTTAAGTTGAAAAAAACAGGGATTTTTCACATATATTCCTCCATCTTCAAACTCAGAAATTATTCCCCAGGAGAAATGGAGAAAACAAATTCTTGAGAAAACTAGAAGAGAAAAGCACCAGAGAAGAGACTGTGGGAAAAAAGTATAGTGACCAGTGGGAATGGGGTAGACAGGATTTAATACATCTTTTCCATTCTCTAGTTTCTGGGATTCTATACATTAGTGTAGAGGGAATGATATTATCAGGCAACGAGAGCAACAAGAAGTGTTTTGTTCAATTTTCAAGGCGCTATTAAAAAAATACAGCCTCTAAATGGGAACTGGATTCCTGGTCTTAAAAATATACAGAGAGCGTCCTGCTCTTCTGCAGTGAGTTTATGTTCCCGTCTGTTCCCTCTGCAAGAGTCAGCAGGTGGCCTGACGGCATGGCAGGGGAGACATGCCAGGTATCATGAAATCACGAGGTTGGAATGTGGAGTTTGGATGGTGGGAGGATGGGGGTTCTGTGTTCAAAATCGCTAGAGTTAGAAAAGAATGAAAACGAAAGGAGCTTGGCCTTCCCATGGGTTTGGACAGGAGACAAACCACAAAGAAAACAGCTTCTCGCCTAGCCCACAGGCACTCATTCAAGGGGAAGCCTGGAGCATCAGCCTACAATTCCACTGCAGTATGCAGAGGATAAAAAAGAAGTATGTTATAAAGTAGGTCTTCATTTCATTTCAGGTGTATTTCCTTGGTAAATGCCACTTCCAACCAATACATTTAGTGGCTCATTTTTATAACATAACTAGCAGTACCAAATCCCTGGGGAGCTTCAGGCCTGGGATTTGATATGTACCAGAAGAGAGGATAGGTGTTCAAATCAAAGGGAGAGTATACTTATCATTTGAACAGACGTTGCTGAAACTATTCCTGTTGTACTGAGCACATTCAAAATGTATAAATTCCTTAATTTTCTTATTGTACTCAAAACCAATTGAAAAATCCCGTTATTAATTATCGCAAAAGGATTTTTGTGATTAACTTAAGAGAGCTTCTGTCTTTAATTTCAAGTGAATAAGATACATTAAAAGAAGACTGCCTACTAGTTTTGAAACATTTTCAGCTTCAGTACAGTGGTGAGAAACAAAGACT